CAGAATCCCGGGAAGGCTATTCTTTGAAGGTGCTACTATGGTGGGTATCAAGGAAATCAATAGCTCAAGCAGGAGACAGCTTTCCAGAGGAAGAGTGAACTGGCTGGGTGTTCTGTGTGAGGAAAAAAGGAAAGGAAAAGGACACCTTTGTCCAAGCCAGCTGGGCATTTTCCTCTGCCAGCTTGCCTTGCTTTCTCTATTAGGTTTCTGGAGCCTATACTCACGGAATATGAACATGGTAGGTCTGATGGGGACTTTCCCTCCCCAATGGCACCTTAGCCATTGCCCTTGCTCTCAGCCATTGAAAAGCAAAAGCATCTGATGCCAGACCATTGTAGCTACTGAGTCAGCTATATGCCTCCTATCTACCATTGAGGTACATCGTGTTCATGCCCCAGTACATCTGCAGGGGCTGTGATTTCACAGTAGTTAGTGTGTTCCACAGCAGTGTTTTCTAATAGAAATAGATACAGAATTCAGAATGTTCTAAAAGGCACCTTCAAAACACATTGGCAATATTAATTATAATGCTACATCTCATTCAATCAATGTCTTCCAAATATCATTTCACCACCTAATCAATACAAATTATTAGTGAGCTATGATGCACTCTCTTTTGTCCTGAGTCTTAAGAATCCAGTTATACTTACAGAATACTCGAATTTGGACTAGCTGCCTTTCAAAGATACCACAGCCACATGTAGCTAATGGCTACTGCATTGGACAGTGCAGATACTCAATGCTTCCACTCCTATAGGAATTCCTATTAGACAATACTGGCATAAAAGACTAAAAATCTATGGGAATAAGAACGACAGATGGGAGCAGGGTGTATTCCACAATTCTCTATAGTTCTTGAGTTGTAAGAGCTCCTGAGGACAGCAGAAACTGGATTGGGATATTCTAGAAGCCTATTAATGCCTTTGAATGGAGATTAAAATGGACTTGTATGAAAAGCCCTGGAATCTATCTGCCATGGTCTTGAACGTTTGCGTCCCCCACCTCTCCAATTCACAAGTTGCAATCTTAATCTCTGCGGTGATGTTCTTGAAGGGTGGGGACTTTGGGAGGTGACTAGATCATGAAAGCAGAGCCCATGAAAGCAGGGAGATTCGTGTCCTCATAAAAGAGACCCCAGGGAACTTACCCCTTCTGCTACAGGAGGGCACAATGAGAAGTTGCCATCTAGAAATCTAGAAATGGGCCTTCCCTGGATAGTGAGTGTGTTAGCACATTGATCTTGGACTTTCCAGCTTCTAGAACTGAGAGGAATAAATTTCTGTCATTCAGTCTACCTAATTTGAACTCTTTTGTTATAGCAGTCTAAGTAGACAAAGATAGACCGTGCCTATACTGTGTAGGGCTGTCCCATAGCGGTGGGACATCCTGCAAGTGCCATCACTGCTGTCAGCATCCACTGCTTGAGCCTTCTCCATGTTAGCTGTGCCAGATTGTTCAGGGCAAGGGATGGGATAAAGACAAAATCACCGTGTACTTCTTTCATTCACAATTGCAGGTTTGCAATCTAATTTGGTGAATCTGATATAGAAATGTGATCAAATTGCACACGCCTATGGTACATATGTGTGCTTGTATGTGTTCCTGGCCCCATGGAGAAGGAAGTTCATGTATGAAATCCAAAAATGCTCATGTGACCACCCAAATCCCCTCCTCAGCAGCTGCCCGCAAAGCACTGAGGAGCAGTAGACTCAAGAGGCTCATCAAAAAATTGTGAGCTGGGAAGAAGAGGCATTGAGTCCGGAAAGAACGAGATTATGGGCACCCAGACAGATGATCAGGTGGGAGGGAAAAGTGGCAATCAGAGGCATTCTCCCAAGACAAGTGCTGCCAACTCTACAGCAAGGATGTCACCCTGATCCCCAAATCAAGCTTCATTCAGAATTCTACACAGTCTTTTGTGTGTGGGGAAAGTGCAATTAGCCATCTTTCCCCCACCTGGAGAGCCTCAGCCTCTCACATCCCTCTCATATTCTCATCAGAGTGGCGGCAGTCAGAAGCCTCTCATAATACGGATTCAAACCCTGGCTCTTCAGTGGCTCCCGAATTTCTAGGGGGCTAAAGGCTACCACTTTGTTGGAAAGGAGGCCATGGGATTGCTTTGAAGATAAATTCCACCAAGTCCCCTGCGCCCTTCTTTTTATTTAGTACTTGTGAGGGATGACAGTTAGGAAAAAAAACACCACACCCACTCTTTTGTACTACCAAGGATTTCGGGGCTGATCACTTAACCTGTCCCAACCTCTCTTTTCTCATCTGTAAGATGCAATTACTGCTGCCTATTTCCTCTGGATGTCATGAGGATTAAATCAGTGTCAGCTAAGGGCTCAAACTGTAGCAGAATACCAAGAACTCTTGGGTGTCTACCAAACCTACAAATCTCTGGATTTCTCCCCATTAGGTCTCCTTATGGCAATGCTTTACATCTCTCTCCCCACCACCATTCCTTCTGGTATGTCTCTATCATTTGGTAATTCACTAGGCTTCCATTTATTTAGCAACAGTAGGATTGTTGGGGGATTCCTAAATGAAAAAAGGTCACCACTATTTTCTATCTGAAATGGTTAGGGACTGTTTGGGATCTATCTAACTTGGCACATAACTAACTGTTCATCGCCAGTGACCGGGCTGCCTCACTGGCAGGTTTCCTCCCCTAGCCCACCCCACACACGGATTAGTACCATATTTCATAAAGGGGGATGGGCTGAGGGCTCTGGCCTTTGGGAGAAATAAATAAGAGACTTGGAGCAGGGGCAGAGGGACATATTGCCTCCTTAAATCACAGCTACTGAAGTCTGGAATCAGACTCATGACTGGAAATTTCTCTGAGCATTATCTGTAAAATAATGCTTCATAGGGGTCACAGGGTCACCTAAGAAGATTTCTCACATGGGAAGTACCTGGCAGACAGAGGGCAACAACAAATGTTAGCTCCTTGGCTAAATTAGCCAGTCAGTCTCTCCTCTCCCCAAATCTAAGGTCAGGAGAGAAACCAGAGAGCCAGACACTTGCTATTTTCCTATTGTGGCTTTGGAGCACATATTGTGTGGCTATCTGTACATACAGAATATCGCCATTTGGGTAAAGGGATTGGGGGGAGGGGAGCTGTCCTCCCCTCCATTTCCAGTTCATTATAGCGAGAGCTCTCTGCTACAAATAGAGTACTCCTAGCCATGCCTCCCAGCCTTTGCCTTTTTCTTGTTCTTTCTTGCTGTTCTGATGGCCCTGTCTCCAGTAGCTGTTTTCTAGCTGCAAGATTTTGCAATTTATTTCCAAGTTGTTGTCCACTGCCTACCAACTAGTGCCTAACTCAGCAACTGGTATGGAAAAACCAGTTCTCATTTTGTTCCGGAGCAGGTTTTCCCGAAGACAAACATCACCACAGGGGGTCTCAGGGTTTTTCGGAATAATAATGGAATCCCCTGGGTGGCTGGACGGTCCTCTGAGCTACTGCCAAAACAGCCAGACACTACACCCCTCCCTCCCCCAAGTTCAAGTCTGATTAGGCTCCCAGTGTCAAGGGTCACCTCAGGCATAAACTCTAAAGGGTATGTGTAAGGGCGAGAGGCAAGTGTCCATGTGCCCAATATTGAACGTATGTGGGGAGGGAAAGAAAAGTGTCTGGGAGTGAGATTGGCTTCTCTAGGCTTCTGGCAGAAAATCTGAGATGCCACCAGACTTAGGGTTCTATACCTTTAAGCTCACCCTAGGCTTCTGCAAGTGGTACAGCTCCTCCGGTTTGCCTCTCCAGGAGAAAAAGAAAAAGGAAAGAAGGGAGCAGAGGACTAGGGGAACCTAGCCTGATACAGGAAAAGGCTAAGAATTATTTTCTCCCTGCTGGCTGCATTTCTCTCGAAGAGAAGCTTCCAAGAATCGGCTAAATCAAGGGATCACAGCAGAGGACGCGAGATAATGCTAAACCAACAAAAACAAAGACCCAAATGAAACCGAGGGAGCCATGAGAATAGGCGGTTATCAAAACTTTGTTTGGCTCTATCTATTTATCATCGCTGCACACCCGGGCTCTGCGGAATAGCATTCTGTTGATGTCACTTGTCCTCAGCAAAATATTTACACATCTTTAAAAACGCCAGATGAGGGGGGGGGTGGAGAGGGAGGCTGGCCCTCTCTCTGTCACAAACTGCCTCTCCAGCACCACTGCCAGGTTGCGGGGGGGGGGGGGGGGGGCGGTGTAGCACCAATGTACATCGATCAGAGCTCCCAGCAGTTAGGGGAATGCACCTAGACGGCACCCTGCCCTGCCCACTTCTACCTGACTCTACAAACAGCAGCCACATAACCGATATGGATGTCAGCAGCCGCTCTTCTTCTCCCCCCCCCCCCCACTCCCCACCCTCTCCCCTCTCATTGATTAAGTTCCCAAACCATTGTTAAAGCCAGATCGTGGCTCCTTAGAAAAGCAGCTAAATTCATTAGGCTTCCCTGTGCCCACAAAAGGAATATTCATAAAAGTTTGGCAGGCAGGCAGGGAGACTGACTGCGTGCCCACGGGGTGGGTGACAATCCGCTCTGCCACAGCCACCTTCGTCCTCCGTGCCCCATCCCTCGCTCCATCCATCCGTCCTGCCCAAAACCTACTTCAGGGACTTCTGATAGAGAAACACAAAGCAGCAGCTGTTTGGCAACATTTCTACCCCTCGCCAGCAACTGTGGTGGGATGCCATTTCCCCACCCAGGCGGAGCTTATTCCGAACAATAGTCGGGCTTTAAATGGCAAACAAGCAAACACAGAACACAACCCCAACACCCTCCCCCCCAAAAAAAGCCAATGTGGAGACAGTCAATAACTCCCTCTGCAGCTAAAGGCGCCACTGAATCGCATGCAAAAAATGCAGCGAGAAGACTGCTTGGTGCTTAACATGGCAGAAAGCCCAAGCTGGTGCGGCCACCCCCGGGGCTGGGCAAGAGGTGTGTGTGTGGGGGGGAACACCAGGGTTCCCAAGGCGCCAATGCACACTCACCCGGCTCCAAGGGGATACAGGGCTTGGCTGGGTGTCACAAAGAAGAGCCCAGTACAATCTGGCAAAACCCAACTTTCCACCCAGCTCGCCAGGGCCGCCAGAGACGTCAACAGAATCCATCTTTCGAAGGGCCTGGAAGGCGCCGGGTTTTCCGGGCCGGGGCAGGATGGCAGAGCCGGAGACAAGCCGGGGTGGAGTTGCCTGGGCACGGAATGTGCCGTGCGCCGTCCTCTGCGCCCAGTGCCAGCGTGCGGGTAAGCGTCCCCCAAACCCACTTCGGGGACCCTCGCCCCCACCAGGCAGCGCCGCCTCCCGGACTTGTCCCTGAACCCACCGGCTAGTGCGCGGCGGCTTCCGCAGCCGGAGCCCAGGGGCCGGGCGCGCCGCATCCGCATCCACCGTAGCCTCGGCCCGCGTCCCCGCCCCCGCCCGGCTCTCCCCGCCGCGCGCACCCTGGCCGGCCTCCGGGCGCCCTCCGGCCCCCGGGCGCAGGCCCCTCCCCGGGCGCCAGGCCCAGCCTGGCGCGCCCCCTGGGTCCGGGTGGCTGGTCCTCTCGGGGAGAAACCGCGGGGGTGACCCCGGCCCCGCAGGGGGGCGTCGCGGGGGTCGCCACTACCTCGCAATTGGGGGGCCGCCGCCGCCTCCAGGAAGCCTCAGGGTGGTCGCGGGCGGAGGGAACTCTCTGGTCTGGCCTCGCCACTGACCGCCTGAAGGTGGTGCACCGCGAAGGGAGCCTCCGTGTGCCGCCGGCTGTCACCCAGCGCCGCTGTCGCCGCCACCGGGTTGTGCGTGAGCGTGTGTGCGCGCCCGTGTCCTGCTGAGTGTGTGTCTGCGTGCAGCGCCCGCCTGGCCTTTACTATATACACCAAGGGGTGGGAGGAGGCGGGGAAGGGGAGGGATTGGGGGAGGTGGCGGAGGAGGGGGAGCAGAGGGGGGACGAAAGGGTACCCGAGGAGGCGGTGGCAGAGGAGGGACAGGTGATCTTGCCCACGGAGAGGGTGTGGCTGTGCGCTGCGTGGGGTAGCAGGGGGAAGGGGAGCTGGGAGCTGAAGGGTATGTAGAGGGGACACGTTTGGGAAAGGCTTGAAGAGCTGGGGCCATTCCAGACCCCCAGATGAACTGAAAAGGGGAGCAGAACCCTGGAGGGACAGAGGCAAGGAGGTGGAAGGGCCCAGCCATCGACCTAAAATGCCGATTGGGATACAGGTCGAAGATTTTTCACAGACAAAATTCACCCACGGATAGAAACTACTTTCTATTCGCAAGGCAATTCATGCATTCAAGTAACGTTTATTAAACACCCACTGTTTGCCAGACAATGTGTAATTCAACCAAGTGAAATTACAAACATGACGGACAAGTGTATGGTTAGTGACCTGCAGATACATAATAGGTAGCTATAGTATCATTGATCATTCAAAAAATGTAAAACCTATATTCTTAACATGATTTTAACAAAGAAAAGGAAGCAGCTGCATTGGTTTAATGAATCCTCCTAGATGTAACGATTTTTTCCCCCTATTAATCAAAACAGAATGAAGATATTGGAGAATGGCAGAGGTGGGATTATTTTCATCAGGACCAAGAACGGTATGAATCTAGCTGTTCTTTGCATGCTTAACACCCCCTCCCATTCCCTTAAATCTCACACTGTGTGTATTAATCACTACTTCTCTCCAGTAGAATATAGAGCGGTCACAAGAGGGTTTATGCCTGGACTGCCTCCTCTGGGCTAGTTTATCACTGTAATGGGATCCCATGGTGTGAAGCAAGCCTAATGTGATGGCACTTCAGGCCAAGTCATGATTTTTGTGGACACTTCTGCCTTTGTGGACTCTTCTTTCCATAAAAAGTATTACAAGTTACATATCACAGTTGCATTTTAATAAAAATAAATATATTAATAAATTCATTTTTCAAACCAAAATATCTTTTGTGTGGCTTTTTTTTTTTATAAGAAAAGATTTCTAGAGCCTCTAAAATTGTGTCTACTTGGTGCCTAGCGCCAAATAAGCCTACTGGTACAAATACTCCATTCTGAATTTCCTCTTTTGACAAAGAAGAGTCAAATGAAGAAGACCCCAATAGACATAGGAGTAGAAAGAAATACAAGTTTGAGAAGTGGTCATGACAAGCGTTAACAGCAAATCCAATTCTTGTTTGGGAAATAAATTGCTCAGATCAAGTGATGATACCTGCGGAAATATTTGCCTATGAATGTGACTTTGATCATTCTAGTAACCAATGACTTTCTCTATAGACCTTGTAACCCTTCAGACTTCTTGGATCATGTATGGGAGTTCTCAGTTGCCAGGACATAGCTTGAATACAACTAAAGGCATAGCTAGGTTATTATAACTGGGCAAGTTTATGGCAGAGATCCATAAAGGTTTTGTGTGTGTTGAGGGGGTATATATGGGAATGAAGTAGTGATTGATATTCTGGAGAGCAATTATTAGCCTTTCTTTTACTGGCTTCATCATAATCCTGGGTTTCATCATAATCCTAAATTAATGTTTGATCCTTGTTGGCAGCTGTGATTCAGGTTTGTTCTTCTTTAAAGTACATATGTTTTTCGAAAAGCTTACATTAATTGAGAGTAATAGATAATAAATGGGTATCATAACCTCTGTTCCCAAATAAATGTATACTTATACCCTTCCTTCTGCATTTCCATCATGGCTACCCTTTCAAAAAGAAAAAGAGAACAGGGGAGGGTCTAGATTGGGGGGAGGGGACAGAGGGGGACAGAGCGTGCTTTGGGACAGAAATGAGACATTAATATGGATGACATGTTCATATAGTCAAAGGATTGCCTAAGAAAATAGACAGAGAAAAGGACCTGCCCAAACAGCAAGAAAGAACAGCAAAAGCTCCCATCATGGGTCAGAGTGGTTTTTGAGGCCTATAATTTTAATATCTAATTATTTAAAATAAGGATCAAGACATTTCCCATCTCAGTTTTATTCATCTAAGTTTTTTTCATCTATACTCTGCTTTTCTAACACAGTATCTCCTCATAATCTAGCTTTCACATGCGTACCAGATGAGTGATTCATGTGCTTATCCAGTAAGCATCTATTAAGCACCTACTGGTTACCCAGTCATCTCTTCAGTTAGAGATGGTTAATATATGGTTGCTGACCTCAGTTTGCTCACAGATGAGTAAATAATCTGTTAATAATTCACTGTGATGCCACATGGCACACAATGAGTTAGAAAATGGACTAGGTGAACATGTAAGGAGAGGGCCCATGGCTGTTCTGGAAGGGTGGAGAATGGCATGGGACAGAGATGTCAAGAGAGATGGCACAGGGATGGTGACAGTTACTGAGTGCTGAGAGATGGACAGTTTCCCCTTTTAAGGGAAAGCCCTCATAATTGAAAGGAATAGCCAGCACTGAAGCTTGGCTGCAGAGCATGTTTGAGAGGCTGCAAATATTTTGTAGGTCTGGAACAGAGGCTTGAAGGATACTAAGCAAGGGAGTTGGCAAGGAATGATTTGTGTGAAGATTGATCAATGTTGGGTTTTGTGAAGGGCTTATTGGAGGGAGGTAAAATATGTCCCAGGAATTGTAGTGAGGTACGGATGAAGAGTAGGAACTTAGCCGGGTGCCAGTGGTACACACCTATAACCCTAGCTACTCAGGAGGCTGAGATCTAAGGATCACAGTTTCAAGCCAGCCCAGGCGGGAAAGTCCGAAACTCCTATCTGCAATGAACCACAGAAAACTGGAAGTGGCGCTGTGGCTCAAGTGGTAGAGCGCTTGCCTTGAGCTGAAGAGCTGAGGGACAGCACCCAGGCCCAGAGTTCAAGCTCCAAGATCAAAAAAAAAAAAAAAAAAAGAGTAGGAACTTAAATATTCAGGAAGTAACATCAATGGGGCTGTGTCAGGAGGATGGCTGAGTCAGGTAACAGGGTTGGCTGGCTGTGGTCACTGAGATAGAGGCTCCTTAGAAGAGAAGCAGATTTGAGTTTAGAGATGATGAATGTCATGGTCTACCTTGGAAAGCAATCCGAGATAAAGACTCAAATGTAGAAAATTAATTTGGAAAGTGAAGGAAACACTTGTAGGGAAGGGAGGAAGAGAGACAGAGATGATAGCCTTCAGGTGGGTATTTCATCAGGGCCAATTTCCACTGTAGGAAACCAGAGCTTAGTCCCATGGACAATCTCTTGGCCATTCAAGTGGTACAGAGAGTAGTTGAGAATTGCTTAGGGTATGCTGAATTTCTAAAGATTCTCATCTGGCACCCAGAGTTGGCAGAGGGTCCTTCTTAAGTACACCATAGCTGTTTCAGCCATGGTGGATGCCTGAGAAGCATACTGAAATGGTAGGATCCTAGGAATGTGGGTGGAGCCATCAGCATCTGCTCCAGTGAATTCTGGTCAGCACATATCATATTGGAGGGGGCACAATGGGTATTCACATAGAGATATCTGGAAAGCATTTGGAAAAGTAGGTCTGGAGTTCAAGGCCCTGGGTATAGGTTGAGACAGTGTGTGTGTGTGTGTGTGTGTGTGTGTGTGTGTGTGTGCGTGTGCGTGTGTGTGAGTGTGGTGATCCTGGGGCTTGAACTCAGAACCTAGCTTTTTTTTGTTCAAAGCTAGTACTCTACCACTTGAACCACATCTCCACTTCAGTTTTTTGGTGGTTAATTGAAGATAAGAGTTTTATAGACTATTCTGACCAAGCTGGCTTTGAACCTTGATTCTCAGATCTCAGCTTCCTGAGCAGTTAGGAAAATGAGCCAGAGGTACCCAGCTGAGCCAGTGGGTTTATAATGAGCTCCACAGAAGACATACATGAATTGAGTTGGTGACCAAGCCCATCATCATCCTCTGGAACCCCAACAGGATTGGATTTGACCTGTATGAATATATTTAGTGTTCCAGAAAACCCCAAGTTAGTGCTCATGGCTGTTGTCTGAAGTTGAATAACATACCTAAAGTCGAAACTTGATTTTCAAAGGTTTTGGTGGTGAATAGTTTCTGGCTGATAGAATGAAGTAGACGTTTGGAAACACAATCATGATGCAAAAAGACAAATGCTGAATAAAGCCAATGCAAAGGGATACATGGTGA